TCTCGACCTCGCCTGACGGGGGCCAAGAGCACGTCAAGGTTATCCTCTACTAATGGCGAGTCTGGTCCGTCACCAGTCTGCACCTCCACGTCTTCCCTCTGTCGAGATTCGGACAGATAGCCAGAGCCCAATCTCTCCTCCGCTGACATAGTGTTTGTTTCATTCATAACGCTCTCGAAACGGCTGCAAACATCTCGAAGCTGTACCACGACTTGTTCGACGTCGGACATGAAGGCGGTTCCTGTGAGAGCCAAGCTTTTCCAATAGTCAAGTTCTTGCCTGAGGCGGCCGGAGTCTCTCACAAGTTCTTCGAGACGTTGTTCCTTACTGACTGGCGCCTTCTGAGACTGTATGGTGCTGTTTGCGAGGTCGGTTGCGTGGGTTCTCCCGCCCAGGGCCGCGACTGCGTTGTCTATGTCGCTTGGTAGGCGCGGCAGACCGTTTGATCGGCGAGGGCGCTTCAAAGGTCTGGCCGCCATGTCGGATTGCCATCGAAATGAGGCAGAGTGCTGATGGGTTGCCGAGCGAGGTGCGTGACATGGATCATTGTATTTGAGGGCAGACGCTGCGTTTGCTGAACGCGAAATTGAAGCCAGATGTAGACGAGATATGATTTTTGTAAGTCCTGGCAAGGTTGACCGACCCATATTGGGCTGCTTCTGTCGTCAACTTGATGTGCGAAGAACTAGAGCTTTCACGGGTGGGCGAGTCAGCAAACGCTGACGGTCGAGCCGTTGGTGGCTTCTGCAAAATCCGGTTGCGCAGAACCTCGCTTCTCGGAAGACAGTATCGGATGTCGACACGAGCTTACACGCACGGAGAGCACAATGTGCCTTGTCCAAAAACAAAGGCAGTCTAGAGCCCTGATGCTGACGATATAAATCTCTTCATTGGCGGTGGCATGAGCTGGTCTACCGAATCACCACAGACGCGCCGGAAGAGATCATGGATTCCATGTGGTGAGCGGCGCACTCTCACATTGCCACATAGGTATCCTGCTAATGGATGTCAGGACCAACCTGCTTAGACAAGATGAGCGATGCTGCCTCGCCATCTGCCTGGCAGTCAATTGCCCTCACAGCGGGCTGACAGACGACACGTGGTACCCGCCGCTGAACAGAGTCAAAGAAGACATGAACAGCACCGCGGGAGATCGGTTCATCGCCTACATCATAAGCTGCCTGTGTGGGCCACTACAAGGCAAAGAGTTCGTCGTCAAGGTCGCCGCGCTCCTGGCGTGCCTGAAAGTCCGCGAAGCGCCCGAGGAATGTGACGACGGCCTGCCGGGCAACAGAACCAACTTGTTGTTCGAGTTTGACAAGGCACTGAACTTTGACTTTGGAAACATGCTCATCACCATCAAAGTGCTCGAACAGGTTTTGATGTTCTCCGCGCGGATTTGGGAAATCCATGCGCCTGAAGACACCGTTCACCCCGGGACTTTGCCAGCGACTTTTGATCTCTGCGATGATTCGGTGTCGAGAAAGATGCTATACATGTACTGCTGCGTACGAGTCTTGTTTCCCGACACTCACGAGGCGACCATGCACCGGACACGGGCCGTCTTCCAGATGAGTTCTGCAGATGCGGCCGAGCTGTTTCTCGATACGCTCAGCGACGACGAGCTAGAGTCAGGGGGGCACTCAATGTGTGACGTGGACGAGTTAGGCGACGATGATGGCGGTTCAGACGTCTCAGGTGGAAGCTGTGGGCCTGACGCAGAAGAAGATGATAGCGATATAGAGTAGTTGCTGAGTTTGTTATGCACGGGGATGTCGTTCTTAGACTTTCACTTAGTCCTCATCTAGACGAGGGTGCGATTGGTGTGTCCGAGCTCTCGAAGAATTGCAAGGCCGCAAAGCACGTCGAAAGAGCAAAGCAACATGCAATCTTGCTGGACTCAAAGGAAAACATGGGCCGAAAGTTGTATTATAAATGGATATAGTTAGTTTTCAAGTCTAATTTATACACGTCAATTTCCCCCCTTTCATGTGCGATACTTGTAATGAACTAATAGGGTCTTCAAGCAGGGATGTAAACGGTTCTCGCCATACTGGGCACACCCTCCTTGGACAACGCGAAAAGATACCAAGGACCAGGGATGAGAACGCCCGAGTCGTTCGGCAGTCTCAGCGTGTAATTGCTCCCGCCGGACTTGGTCACGTCAGTCAGCGGCACGCGGCGCTGATCCGAGTTGATGCTGTGCGTCGCGTTACCCATCCTCACCAGTGCGAAGGAAGGAACATCCAGCCCGCTCTCGAGCGCGACCGTAATGGAGGTCCCGACCTTGACCGTGGTCTGCGAAAGGCTCAAGATAACGGGCCGCAGAGCCAGCTCGCCCGCGGCCGTGAACAGGTACGGCGGCGAAAAGACCTCGCCGTCGAAGTGATCCTTGGCGCGATCGCACCAGGAGAGGTCGCTTCCCTGCGCGGCGGGGCACATGCCGCCGCCGCCGACGAAGACGGTGCCGTCCGGAAGGAGGATGCTGACGGAGTGGTAATTGCGGGGCACCGCGGCGGCAGCCATCGGCGTCCAGGCGCGTGTCTTTGGGTCCCAGAGCTCCGGAACGAGGACGCCGTTGGTGTCGGTGAAGACGAGGGATCTCGGCTGGCCGCCTGTCACGACGACCTTGCCGTCCGGCAGCACGACGGCGTTGGCGAAGCCACGGGCGAAATTCATGTCGGGAAGGGTCTCGACGGTCGCGGGGACGCCGGGGTCGGTAATCGAGATAAGATGGGCGGCTTTCGTGGCGTCGCTGTCCGTGTAGTCCTGACTCCCGCCGGCGGCGAGGATCTTCCCGACGTCGTACATGACGTTGGCGCCGCACATCTGGTCCATCGCGGTGGTGCGGACGCCCGCCGCGGAGACGGAGCCGGCGCCGTTGGTGCGGTACCAGTTCATCGTCTTGCTCGGGCCGGCTTGGAAGACGGAGCCGTTGCGCCAACCGTAGAGCCAGGCATGGTTATCGGTGCGCCAGATACCTTCACGGTCCGTCGTCAACAGCGGAGTCGGGTCAGTCCCCTGAAGAAGCGTCCATCTGTTCTTGGCCGGATCGTAGACTTCACCCGTCTTGTCTCCTTGGGGGCCCGTGAAAGAGCCGCCGATGGTGAAGATTCGGCCATCCGACAATGTGGCCGACGTCTGGTACCCGCGCGCAATCACCATGTCGGCGGCGCGGGTGAACTGGTTGGTGGCGGGGTCGTAGACGCTCACGGCCTCGGCGTTCTCGCCGCCGGTGATTATAATCTTCCCGCTAGCGAGAGAGCTGATCCCGGGACAAAACATGTCGTGCTTGGTGTTCGTGACGGTTCGTTGCGAAACAGCGCCCGTGAGGAAGTTGTAGTCTGCAAACTGCGTGATGCCCGTGGGCCCGCTGAAGGCGCGATCGCCCCAGGACGAGAAGACGAGGAGGCGAGCCGAGGAGGGCTGAGCTAGTACGACGTAGGCCGCGACGGGGATGATGGGGAACTAGATGACGTCGGACCAGCGGCCGATCTTGGACGTCGCCTTGGAGGTGCTGGTCTTGATCATCTTTAGCGAGGTGAATTGCCTGTTGAACTTCCAGTCAGATGCAGCGGTGACGGTCCCCTTAATGTGGCAGACTTGGTTCTGCGCGTCGTAAACGGCATACGCGCAGTTCTGGTTCATGGTGCAGCTTTCTGCGCAGGCTGCGACAGACGCGACGCCGCCGACGACGTTGACGCTTGGGACTGTGAAGTCAGCGTTCTTGCAGGTCGCGAAGCTGGCGCCGTTCTGCGTGGTGATGTTGGTATAGCCGCTCGGGCAACTGTTAATGCCAACACCGTCAGCGAGAACGGATAGCTTGCTCACGGAGTCGAAGCCGGGCTGGTACGTCCATTGCAGTGCCTTGGGGTCCGCCTTGATGTAGCACTGAGAAGTCGAATTTTGGAAAACGGCTCGGAAGCAGTCGGACGCTTGGCCACACTCAAGAGCGCATGCCTGGAGCGATGTGGTGCCGCCAACAGCCCGGATAGTGTCGCCCTGATAATCCGTGTTCGGGCAAGTGGCTAGGGTAGACCCAGTGGCAGTCACATTCGTCGCAGTAGTCGGGCAAGACTGGATGGCGACACCCTTTGTGAGCTTGGAGACCAGCTTGATGGTCGTAAATTTATTGTCGGCCGCCCAGTTGAGGCCATCCTTGGCCTTGAGATGGCAACCGAAATTGGCCTTGTCGTAGACCGCCTGCGTGCATTGAGCATCTTGACTACAAGCCTGCGCGCAGTCGAATAGGGTCGCTACGGTGTCGACAAACTTAGTTGTAGTTCCCCTGTAGTCGGTCTGCTGGCAGACCGAGTAGGTAGCTGAGCCATCGGGAGTGACGATGTTCTCTGCTGCAGAAGGGCAACTCGAGAGTTGGGCTCGCGAAGCCTGTGTCAAAGAGAGCGAAAGTAAAAGTAAATGAGAGAGTGTGGTACGACCCATGGTGTCGGTATTAGCTAAACGAGTGAGTTGACACGCGGTGACCCAAAAGAAAAGTTCCATCATGTCAGAGCGAGACTTCCAGGTTCTTATCTAGAAGCCTCTCAATACACTAGTTCAACGTCCCGGATCGACGGCAACTCATGGTGGGATGTTACGCCGGACCGTTGATCACGAACTCCTGAGCTAAGACTCTATACGAGCGTCTGTGTCATGAACGTGGAGAAAGGAAAAACCCAAGCTTGACTTGGCTCAGAGTTGTCATGTACCGGCTCACAAATCAGGCGACGTCTCGGCGGAGCGCCTCAGAAGTCGATATTCTATTCACGGTATGCCTCGTGGAGCGGGAGGATTCTCGTCGAAAAATAGACGGTCGATCTACGGATCTTTGGAAGCGTGGCTGAAACCTAGGCGCAGGGACCGTCGACGGTGAATGTTGTGGATTTGAAGTTTAGGCCAATGGTAAGGCACTAGTCCCGAATCTATCTTCGAGCATGTCTTCTGGTGTGAAGCTACAGCAACCTTGTCATCGTATAGAGAATTATGGAAGGGGTAGTGAGGTTAGCGGCCTCGGTATCGACCGAAGTGTGGGCTAGGCTTTCATTTGGCGTCTATGTTAAGTTGACACTATCGATTGCTTGGATGATGCTAGCATACAAGGCGTTGCCTGGGAAAGGAGACAAAGAACACTGCGCACCGATTGTAATAATCCAAGTTTTCAAGCTCCCTTTCGTGTTCTAAGCATCGGCATATTTACAGATTGATTCGCTGTTATTCTAGGAAATGTTGCGGTCAATGAGAACCTACTACAAAGGCGCACTGTGTAGAGGATTGGCTTATAACGGCGATACAATACGAGGACCCGAAGAGATCCTGAGCACAATACGACGTCTCTATTCATCCCGTTTGATAGGGAACGAGGCACTGAGATACAAGTTGACCAAAGGCGTTGGCCAAGACGATAATTTCACGAGATATCTGTCACTATGGTAGTTCGGAAAATGCGGAGAAACTCCCTGTGACTGGCGAATCATGGTCGACTTCGCGATTGCACTGCCAGCGCAGAGAAATTGATCTGAATAGCATCTACAATGAACTCTGCTCGTACTCATATCGAGGGTATAATGGATAAGGCATCATCTCCGGTAGTCCTCAAGCCGCGATCATCAACAAACCCATCGCCACAGAGGCTGCCATGGCCTAGCGTTACATACGACCCTGACTATTATCGATGGCCTTGCATAACAAGTACCCCTAGGGGTCTAGCTTTATAAAAAGGGTCTCGCCCTACTCTGCTTGAGAGGCAATAGCCTTCAGCTATCTCCTAAATCACTGGTAACTACCTGAGACTTCTTCTATGCCATGGACTACTAGTTGGCGCCAGTCTGCCGCTTGAGTGCATGTATACGGAGTACGTCTGCCAAGTGATAGGAGATGGACTTTATTAACTTGATTGGAGAGAAGACATGTAATGAAACTCGTTCTACCAATCTACTGAGTGATAGAAAAATAGCGAATTGGTTCGATGCAGGTGGTGCCATGTAAACCTGGGAAGGTTGTTAGTGACGCTGTGCCATGGTGACGGTGAATTGTCATGAAGATGGTACTCACTTCGAGACCGATAGTACCCATGCAGATCATGATAATGATGTCAATGAGGGTTCCCCTGGGCCACTGTCCGAAGCTGGAGCGAGTGCACGCGGTTGCCTAGAACGAAGTCTCATAACCATGGTGATGTTATGACTTTATTAGGCGAGAGGACTGCACCTCCGAAGTCCTATGCAGCTCTCTAACCTCATTCGGTGAAACCATACTACACATTACTAGGAATTAGTATATATGCACGAAGTTATTACGGAAAGCTCATGATTATCTGGGTCTCGATAATAGTGACTTCGTTCCCATAACCCGAGTCCTTACCCACACGCTCACCCCGCTCACCCACGCTCACCACATTTGAAGCGGCGAGGGATCAGAGGACATTTGGGCGACCTTTTGGCTCATAACTATCTTTGGAAAGAGTGGCAGATCTCTTATGTGTGACTTATGTGTGAGAAGCCGACCTGCCTCGGTATTCGCCAAACGTCCACGAAGCGTTCTGCATGTCATGCCCTATGTTCTGTACTGCGCAACGAAGATCCCACCCTCGAGACCGTGATATATGCGATGCATCGGTGTTGCTGGTGATGGCTCGCATAGAGTCCTGAATCACCCAGTCACCTTTAAGCCAGGTTGCAAAGCACGAAACATCGAGAGACGAAGCCTGACAGTACTGCGAAACTCGCAGCGAAAGACCGGAGGCATAAGACGAGAGATGAGTCCACAAACTGCCCATCAGCGGCGTAACCGGCTTCTTGCCATTGGCGCCTCAGCGCAGGAAGCAAGTTTCGTCGACTGTACTACGATCAGAACCAGAAGTGTCTTTTCGTGCCGTACACGTTCTCTCTATTTCATTGAATCTCTCCCGCAGCGGAGCGACCTCCAGTTGCAGGATGCTACCTCGGCCAGCGTCGAAACACCGGTGACACCGTCGCCAACGTCTGCGTAAGCATCTCCGAGCTTCTCGTCGACGTCTCATATGCGATGTCTCATCGATCATGGACTCTCGGA